ATATCCCTTCGCAGTATTATTGCAACGCAGCATTGCTGTATACAAGCATATATGCATTTTCATTTATCTTATTCAATTATTCCATATATATGTCGATGGAATTGTCATCGATATATTCAATTGAACTGCCGTACTCAGTGACCTGGCTCAAGTAGTCAAAGTTCGCCTGAAACAAGTTTCAAATCAGTTGAAGTACATTTTGGGCCGATAGCCGATTTATGCGAAGCTGCTGCTCACAGTTTAGTTTAGATATAATAAATAAATTAAGCAAAGTATTATATGATGCTAAAGGGGTGCCACTAAAACCACTTGTCATAATAAGTATTAATGAAATTCAGGTAATTAAAGCACTTGAGTGAATGCGTATCACAGCAGAGACATGCCGCGAGTATGCGCGGGGTGCTGGTATTTCACTTTTCGTATCAACCCAGATTGGAGCCACCCACACACGCACACACATACACATGCACACGCACATGTGTGCTTATAATTATGTGAGTGGATAAGCCAGTTGGTATTTTATGAAGTTTCTATTGCCGCGAGCGCACAGCTTCCTGGGCGGCCCCATCAAATGCAGACCCAAACACAAACCCAAACCCAAACCCAAAAACCGAAATCAAGTTCGCCATCTTCATCATCTTGGGTTGCGTGTGTGATTTACATTATAATAATTAGTTTATGGCAGAGGCACGCGCTGCTCTGGCAACGTCATCAAAATTGCAAATAGAAAGCAATTTCCACACTTATTATACACACGTGTGACGGCCTGAGCGTGGCAGGAGCCGCACGTAATGAGATCCAGTTAACCAGGCTAGCAGAGTTAGCTGCTCTTACGCCCACTACAAGTATGTGTCGCCCTTTACAAACTTGGCTAAGTTGCTTGAGAGCTTATGCGCCAGTTAAAGTGCATGTGCGCTCCCTGCTCCCTGCTCCCTGCTCCCCGCTGCCCGATCCGTGCACGGTTTTTCGTGCTTCATGCGGTGTGCTGCGTGCAGCGTTCTGCGTACTTCTCAATTTCAGGCACACGAAATTACTTTGAAACTCGTGCCGCAAGCTGGCTAAAGCTGCCAAAGCAGCAACCTGGCCACTGGCGTGTAGCTGACTGACTGACTGACTGACTGACTGACTGGCCGGCTGACTCGATGGCTGGTTGGCTGCCTTGTGGCCTCATTAGACCGCGTGTTGCATAAAGCGCAGCAGGTGACTTTCGCCTGGGACAAAGCCGAGAATTGCAATTGCCGTTGGCATTTCAGTGGCCAAGGCTGTGTCCAAATTTAGTCCAGCTCTAAGAAGTCCTCTCTCTCTCTCTCTCTCTCTCTCTCTCTCTCTCTCTCTCTCTCTCTCTCTCTCTCTCTCTCTCTCTCTCTCTCTATCCTGCCACATCCTATCACTCACTCCCTCCCTTCTCGTTGTATTGCCCGAAAAGACAAATGCAGACAACTTTGTTTAGACTCTTTAAGCCAGGCCAAAAGCCAATTCGATGCCAACTTTGTGACCACTTTGCGCTGTCATTTCAATTAGCCATTGCTTTTCAACTTGTCCAAAGCACGTCCACTTGGCGTTTACTGTTTCTGCATACCCTGCAATGGTTAGCAACTTTGTCTTGCTCTGCTCCATTGTTTTCTTTCCTTTCAATCCAAGTTTTTCTGATAATGAAGCAAGTCCTTAGTAAATGGTCTGCTCTTAGTTTTGGCCAGCTGCACTTAGGGTGTCTGCTAGTCGAGCACTCGCAACTGCTTGGATTTGCATTGAGTTTCGCACTCGCTGTCGTTTTCGCTTTCAGTGTGTGTGGGCAGCGCCGAGCTGCCAAACAATGAAATATAATTTGTATAATTTAAGTAAATGCGCAAGTCATTAGCATTTCGGTCCGCGTTTCTTCTGTGGGCATTCTGCAGCCGTGTTTAATGAAGCTCATTAATCACGCCAACCAATTGCAATTCGAAGTCGGTCGAAGTTATGAATAAACTACTGTCAACTCGGCTGACGAACTCACAACTGCTTCGATGGTTGCGTTCAGCTGAATAACTAATTGACAGACTGACAAACTGACTGACTGGCTGACTGGCTGACTGACTGATTGACTGTCGGCTAACTGGGCTTGTTATGCAAATTGTCTGTTTTTGCCACCTCCACGGCTCGCGCGGCGTATGATTAATATTTATTTGCAAGCGAAGTTTTCCGCTCTTGCAAAAGGCGTGCAGAGGAATAGAGTCGCGGCAGCTGCACTTAACCATAATTAAGTGCAATCTCTGCGTATACGTAATCTGCGTGCGCGCATTGCCCAAGCAAACCGAACGAAATATGTAAAGCAGCCTGTGGTCAACTGTGTGTGAGTGTGTGAGTGTGTGTGTATGTGTGGGCTGTTGGCCAGCCAACAAGAAACAAGTCAAGCTAACTCTTTACACATGTACCGAGATGGCCTCTTAGTCAAGGGCAACGCAACTGCCCACAGAGCCCAGCGCAAATCGTGTCATCAAGTAAGCAGAACGGGCTGAACAGCCACAGCTCAGCTGGGCTAAGCCCAGTTTAGTTCGGGCAGCAGACTGGGCGTATGCGTGATGCCCGCTCCGGCCGTTGGGTTGCTTGCTTATGGCAGTTGCAACGTTTTTGTGGCGCTCTCTCATGGACAGCAACCTGTTGAGTAGTGCTCGAGCTCATTGAATACGGGATTTAAGGGCAAAACGGTTTTGTGTCAACGTCTGCAGCAGACAGAAGGAGGCGTGGCGGAAGCCATTAAGAATATATATCATTGAGCAAGACGACAAGGGGAGACGTCCGTCCGTCAGTCTGGGAAAATATAAGTAACAAGCAGACGGAGGCGTGGCAGAACCCATAAAGTATGTGCATGTACCTTTTGATTGTGGCAAAGAGCTGAGTCGATATAACCGTCTCCGCCCGACTGTCCGTCCGTGTATTTAACTTTCCGCAAACACTGAAGACTGGACCTTTTCAAAATAAATTCCCTAATAAGCTATATAAGCTGATGATTAATTTATTATTATTTGTATTGTCCTATCGATTAGTTTTTTACTATCGATAAAAATCGATCAATTAGTTTTGCTTTTTCTCAAGCATAAAATCCACAGATTACTGATTTACTGCACCAAATATTTGCAAATAAGCCCATTTGAAATACTAAAAATTTGTTCCTTATTAAATATACGTGTCTTTGAAACGAAATTTGTTTAACCATAAATTTCCCATAATAAAGCTCATAAGCCATGGACCATGGATATTATGTCATATCAGCTCTTCTCAGGACTCTTTGTATTGCTAGTCGGGCCGCATTCTTGTTATGTTATTTTCAAATATACTTAAGGAGAGTTCGAGTGAGCTATACTCTGTGTATAAATTTCCCTTGAGATATGCCAGCAAATATTCATTATCAGCATGCATATATCTATGTATAGATTCATATATAGAAAGAAGTCTTGGGAAGGCGCTATTCGATATTAATTACGAGCTCAAGCTCGGCAATGAGTTCTAGAACTTTAGCTTGACTTATGTTAATCAAAATGTATATACGAGCTCCGAGGAGGCATTCGAGTACACACACACACATACACACACTTACGCACTAATACTTACATACATACATAACGCTGGGCGCAATCAAATTAAGTTCTAGCCCCAATCAATTGAATGCCTTTCGGCGAGATGCCAAACTTTGGCGCATTATGAAGTCCAGAAATAGCAGCATTAGTGCTAATAGGGGATATGCGTTCGTCTGTAGGGTTCCTAAGAGTTCTGCCAGGGGCCAAGGCACATATACGCCCCAGTTGGCAGAGGGTGCAGGGTATAGCTAAACGCGTCGGGCTGCACATAAAAGTTACACAAACTCAATTTTGTAAGAGCGAGTTGTGTGTGTGTTTATATATGGGGCAGTAGGTATGAGTAAGTCTGTCAGCGGCAGCTACTGTTTGCTCCACATACACACACACACACACACACACATGTTTGGGATGCCTTGAAAATGGCAAATATTTGTCTGCCGACATTCATTTTTTTTTCTTTTTTGCTGGTTGCCCACGCAGTCGGCGGCCATTTTCTTGCGCAAGTGTCTATCTAGCTGCGATTGTTATTGATGTAACATTAGAGCCGGCCACGCCCCTTGAACGGGTTAAGGACTGTGTCCGCAACAGCAGCAGCAGCAGCAGCAGCAGCAGCGGCAGCAGCGCTAAGAATTATCACTTTTACCGCATGATTAATTACGACCACGTGAATTGGCAGCAATCTGAGCGGCGATTGTTATGTCCCCATCGCAATGCTCGCTTGTCTCTGCCGTATTGTCTGTCACGGATAGTGTTTGCTTTTCTTTTCTTCATAATTTGTTTTTGTTGTTTTTGTTTTCGGCATGATAAATGCTCGCTCAGTCACTGGCCGCAAGGCAAATGCAAAAATCTGCTAATGTTGTGCGTGGGCGTTGTTGCTGTTGTTGTTGTTGTTGTTGTTGCTGCTGTTAACTCGTTGTCAGTTGCTGGTTGCTACCGCCTGTGGCCATGGCCACTTCAAAAGCAAACCCACACAGCCAGCCGGCGGCGCTAACGAGTTACGGCCGAAGCGACGACAGTTCTTGTGCTTGGCCAGAACTTTGATTTGAATGCCCTGTGGAGGTAGGCGAGAAGTGTATGTCTGGCGTTCGATACACACGCGCACCTCTGATCATAATTCTATGGCAATTGTTTGACTCTTGCTGAGAACAGGGTATCTGGCAGTTGGGCTGCAGCTCGCATTGCCGCCACGTCGGCGTCGACTTTGATGCTGTGCCCCTGAGGGCAGCCCACGCATGCCATTGCACATGGCCAAATGTTGCTGGCTGTCATTTGCTGCGTATTAGCGCGCGCCCGGAGCCAGCCACTTGGCTTAATCCAGCTGGCGTTCAAGTGCCGCCTTTTAATTGGCAATCGTTGCAGGCATTAGCGGATGTCGTCATCCAGCAATCACTCAGCCAAATCCGTACTCACACACTGTCTCTCTCTCTCTCTACCACTCTCTTGCAGATGAAAACAAACTAAACTCCAGCTCATGGGAGGATACATTGACAGAGCCGCAAGAACAGCATCCACAGTCACAGGCGCAGTCACAGTCGCAGCTGCCGTTGCAATCGCACTCGGAGTCACTGTCGGTGGCACAACCTCAGCCACAGGCACAGCATCAGACATCGTCGTTCATCACAGCGCCAGGTCAGGGGGCCGGCAGCCAGAAGGCGAGCTTGACCACAGCTCAATTGCAGAGCGCGTTTAGCCGGCGCATTGCGGAGCAGCAGCAGCAGCGGGCAAAGGGCGGCCAGATCAGCCAGCAGGCAGACAGCGCCACAATTGCCGGCGGAAGCTTCAGCGCCAACGGTGGCCAGGCTGCCGTTGGTGTTGGTGTCGTTGGTGTCGGTGTTGGCAGCAGCGCGAGCAGCAGCAGCGAGCGGGACACCAAGTCGCCGGGACGCGAGCGACGCGAGCCGCCCACAGCGAACCACTCCGACGAGGAGAACTTCACCGAGGAGGAGCAGACCAGCAGCAGCGTGAGTTCATTAAGCGCCGGCAACCAACGCAATTCGCAATTGCGTTCCACCTTCAACAAGGCCAAGCAGCATTTGTCGTTTGACAAATGGCGCACGGCTGCTTCGGCGAGCTCCTCTAGCGCCACTCCGAACCCACTCAGCGGCCAGCCGCAGTGCAGCCAGAGCGCCAGCCAGAACAGCAGCCGCGACAGCAACATGATTATGCGACGGGCCAGCGCCTGCACGATGCCCACCGGCTCGGGGGCGGCAGGCGGGGTGTCCCAGCGCGAGGATAATACGGCGCCCGGCGAATCGCCGGGCGGACGGCTGTCGCGCTGGTTCTCCATACGGCGCGGCTCCTCACACCAGTACGATGTGGGCGGGCGCGATGGACGCCAGCTGACCGGCTCCAGCTTCGATATGCCGGATGCCTCGGCCTCGGCCCCTGCCGCACCGAAGCCAACGACAGCGAACGCGACGCTGGACGCCGCCTCGCCACAGAAGCTGGCCAATTTGGGCGCCAGCAAGATGATGCCGGGCGTGCCCGAGGTAAGTCAACGCCCCCGACCCCGACCCCCAGGATAGACCACGCTTCCACTTTACTAACGGCCATTTGCTCTTGCAGTACGAGGACGATGAGAACCTGGCGCCGGAGAGCAATCGCTTCGACATGGACCTGATGATACCGCCGGGCAGCCGGGCCAACGGCACCGCCCGCACCACCCACAGCCGAATCATAGTGCCAATGCTGCCGCCGGCACCGCCCGGCCTCTCCCAGCAGCAGCTCAAGCGACGCCACATCGTGGCCGCCATCGTGCACAGCGAGAACTCCTACGTGGCCACGCTGCAACGTCTAGTCAATGTGAGTACGAGAACCAAGAAGCAGACGCAAAGAAAGCGAAACGAGAGCATGCGTACGGTGGTGTTGAGTACGAGCAGGAAACTCTTGTACCCAGAACACTAAATTTATCAATTAGAACCAGCACAATTGTAGTTCAGGATTGGGGCTATCGATACAGGCTTGGTTAGCGTTACGTGGAGCTGCTTTGCGATAAGGTTGGGGTTAGTGTGTTGTGTTCTCTTCTCCTGCGTGTGTTGTTGTTGTTGTTGTAGTTCTAGCTACAATGAAATATGGGACATTGACTTTGACCCTAGGACGGAGCTGGGGGCGAATTTGACGTTGGCATTTCGTTGGCCGTTATCATCGTAATCATCGCCCTCCTCCTGACAGTCCTTATAGTCATCCTCATCCTCATTCTCATTGCCATCGTCGTCATCTTTAACGTCCTCCTCATCGTGTGTGTCGGCGTCATCCTCATCTGGCTCGCCAACATGCAGTGTTAGCTTGAAATTGAGGCTTAGCTGCGGCACGACAAATCGGCATACCTCATATTCGCAGAGTATACCCGTATCAGCGTCGTCCGATTCCTGTGGCATTGCTGGCTGTGTATTATCTGTCAGTGTCGTTTGCGACGCATCCTTGACGTCAGCGTCCAGGTCGGTAATGGTCGTTGTGGAGTCGCTGGCAACCAGGGGCAGCTCCGGTGTCTGCTCGCAGGCATCGGCTGGCAGGTCGGATTGCAGCAGCACGTCAATCTCGAGGGGCGTTAGTATATAAAACTCGCCGGTCACTTCGTCGCGCTGGATGCAGCCGAGCAGCGGCTCGTCCTCCTGCTTCACCATATTGATCTCCTCCATGCTCTCATTTGTCCAGCTGTCAGTTAGTCTTGCATCTTCATTCTCGTTGTGTGTGACGCTCTCTGGATTACCGTCGGGGTATTCGGGCAGCCGAAAGCTGTAGAGGCCAGGCGCGTTCAGCTTGACGTAGCCCCTGTTTGTGTCGGATCGCAGGTACAGCTGCACCTTGCCGAATGTCTCGGCCACCAATGCTACCTCATCCTCGTCCAGTTCCGGAATCGCGTCCTCCGCGCGAGCACCACGCTGCAATTTACTGTCTATTGTCTTTGTCATCTTGTATGCCGAAATTGGATTAGGTCTCATATAGTTGGACATGTATAATGAATTGAATAATCGGATATTTTCTACGCTTTCTCAATTTCTTTATAATAAATAAACAAATGTTAAATTTCAGTTTGTATTCCAGGTGTGTCGTTCATGCTTATGTCAGTCAAGTGTCAAGACTGCCTGAATTTGTTCCTTATTATCAATTTTTTGTTTGTCGCATACCAATGCACTGCATTTTCGCTCCACTCAAGAGCTGAACATGATATTGTGTCACATTTGCTCATCAGTCCGTTGGGCTTCAGCTTTAAATCGATTAACAGAAAATTTCGTAAGCGCTGTTAATAGCAGTTGAGATGAAAAGGTTAACATGGACAGAACATTTTCTGTTTCTGATTTTATTATTTAACATATGTATGTAGTGTGTTCCGGGGTAATAAAATAATCAAAATGGTTACAGATTTTTTCGGTATGATTTCTATAGTAAGGTTACCTTAATAGAGGTCTCAGCTTTGGCGATTACCTTCTCTAACTTACTCATGAGGTTGGTGAACAGGAAAATTGTGTTGTGAGCCGGATCTAGAGAATACGATGTGGAACCAATTCGAAGGTCAACTCAAGGATTTCTATCAACACTTTCAATCGATTTGCGTAGTCGTAATGAGTTCTATATTCTCCTTCAGTTCTTCGTCAATGAATATTACATCATTTGCATTCCAAAATACCGTCAACACACTCATCATATTAGATAGAACATGTAGAGTATTTGATATTCGGTTAACCGAATATATTTTCAGTTCTTTTCCGTGTACCCCTCCGTAGATTAGTTTTAGCCTGTGGCCTTGGCCTTTAATATCCGCCGACTTATGTTAATGTTAACTCTCATGACAACTCATTTGTTTTCTTCTTTACATGCCATCCAATTCCCACCGTCATATGCCGCCACTCTCCGTCATAACTAACACCAATTCTAATACTCACACATACACGCACACATGCACTCACTCACACGTCTTTGTAAATTGTATCTGTAACTCATTTAATACTCACAACACTCACATCAATCATTTAACCATCTCAAACCACCTTAACATAAAAAGTAGTTACAAAATAATTAGTTGAACACCCATTAAAAAGTACCAAAAATATAAAATAAATAAAAAACCCAGCATTTCGAACGGCAGAGAGAGAGAGAGAAAGAGATAAAGAGAGACAGAGTGATCTTTCAACTTTGGTAAAGCATTGACATCTGTAGCAGGAGGAATGCAACTATTAAATGGCTTGCTAATATTTCAACCGATTCTCTCTTTTCGCTTTGCTCGACAGGATTACAAGAAGCCTCTGGAGGAGTGCAGTCCGCCGGTGCTGAATCCGGTCAAGATCGCAACGCTGTTCCACTGCTTGCCGGACATTCTGCACTCGCACAAGCTGTTCCGCATCTCGTTGGCTGAGTGTGTGCGCAACTGGGATCGCGACGAGAAGATCGGCGACTGCTTTGTCAGTGCATTCGGCAAGCCGCAGCTGCTGGAGATTTACTCGGGCTTTATCAACAACTTTTCGGCTGCCATGGAGCTGGCCAAAATGGAGGAGAAGCGCAAGTCGGCGCTGGCCGACTTCTTCAAGGTCAAGCAGATCAGCGCCCACGATCGCCTATCCTTCTTCGGGCTGATGGTGAAGCCCGTGCAGCGCTTTCCCCAGTTCATACTGTTTCTGCAGGACCTGCTCAAGTACACGCCGCAGGGCCACCACGATCGCATGTCCCTGCAGCTGGCGCTCTCCCAGCTGGAGCTGCTCGCCGAGCTGCTGAACGAGAGCAAGCGCGTGGCGGAGCAGTACCAGGCCTTCAAGGAGATGCTCGGCCACATTAGCGGCACGTTCAACACGCGCTCCCTCAACAGCGTCAGCGACAGCTGCGGCAATCGGGCGCGCTATCTGCTGCGCGAGGACAATGTCACCCACATGGAGTTCAACCAGGCCGGCTTCATTGTCAAGTGCAAGCAGCGACGCCTGCTGCTGCTCAACGACAAGGTCATCTGCGTGTCCGTGGCGCCCAAGCAGTCGCACGACTTCGGCGCCACCGAAAAGCTCACCTTCAAATGGATGTTTCCGGTCAACGATGTCGAGATCGTGGACAACAGCGCATCGGCAACACTCTCGAGAATACTAACAGCAGGTAGGTTACCATCAGTTGCCATCAATTGCCACCAGGTGAACAGCTAATAACTCCCCTCCTCTGCAGGCTTAAATCGGGGCGGCAGTCTCAAGTCGAACGGCAGCAGCGGCAACGCCAACAGCGCCGGCGGCTATGCCAATGCAACGCTTGGCGGTCACGGCCATGGCCAGGCTGGGCTGACTGGCTTGGGCTCACCGTTTGCCGCAGTGGATGCGCACAGCTCGCCAGCCGTGCAGCTCACGAACGGAGCGGATAATCTGTGCAACGAGATGAGCACACTGATGTACGACTACGAGGTTATATCACGCATACACGACCTGGTCGGCACCCTGAAAGGCAGCTACAAGGAGCTGAACTTAAATACTACACGCAACGTGCTCAACACCATACAGGGCTCCATACAGCGCAAGGACGAGGAGATGGCCTGGGTGGACTCCTGCTGCCTGCAGCTGATTGGCCGCCACAAGTCCGGCAAGGAGGAGACCTTCACTTTCCAGACTCAGACGCCGAATGTGAAGAAGGAATGGATCACCGAACTGAGACTCGCCCAGCTAGCGCTCGATCCGAACAATTCGCCCGCCTGGGAGCGGTCAGTCTCCCAGCCCCACCATGCGCATCACCAACATCCCAATGCCTCACAGTCGCCCGGCAGTCCTCAGGCCACGCTGCACACCTACGAGCAACAGCAGCTGCAGGAAGCTGTGCAACAGAAGCAGTCGCGTAAGATGCCACTATTTGTCAAGGCGATGCCCGTCTACCGATCACAGCATCAAACGGAGGTGAGCTACAACAAACGAAAAACGCCCATGAATGTGCACCCAAATAGTCACATTCCATATGTCGATTAGAGTACATTACATGTTACGAGTAGAGTTACAGTAGTGTCACAGAGTAGAGTAAAGTTACAGTGGACTAGAGTAGAGTAGAGTAGAGTAGGGTAGGGTAGGGTAGAGTAGAGTAGAGTAAAGTTACAGTAGGGTTTCAATAGAGCTACAGTAAAGTAGAGTTGAATAAAGTAGAGTAAAGTAGAGTAGAGTAAAGTAGAGTAGAGTAGAGTAGAGTAGAGTAGAGTAGAGTAGAGTAGAGTAGAGTAAAGTAAAGTAGAGTAGAATAAAGTAGAGTAGAGTAGAGTTGCAGTAGAGTAGAGTAGAGTAGAGTAGAGTAGAGTAGAGTAGAGTAGAGTAAAGTAAAGTAGAGTAGAATAAAGTAGAGTAGAGTAGAGTAGAGTAGAGTAAAGTAGAGTAGAATAAAGTAGAGTAGAGTAGAGTTGCAGTAGAGTAAATTAGAGTAGAGTAAAGTTACAGTACAGTGGATTAGACTAGAGTTACAGTTGAGTTAAATGAAGTAGAGTTGTTCAAGCGATATTATCACTTAGCTTTTCCAAACCCAACTGAAGTTCAATCAAGTTCTAATTGCTAAGAAATTGAATCCAATTGAGCATCTACAAAAATCTTCTTTTCCTCCTTCCTGCAGGTGCGCTGTGGATGCTACTACAGCATCGCCAATGACACTAAGCAGAGCGGCAACGCGCGACGCCGGCACAAGCAGCTGAACTATCTCTGGATGTGCAGCAGCGATGGCACATCGTCGCACATCACCGTGCTGGCCCAGCACCCGCAGCAGGCGGGCAATTTGCGCGAGGCGGGCTCCTTCGACTTGGTGGAGACGCAAGTGTCGGCAATGGAGTTCGTAAAGGGCCTGGACCAGTGCCGCACGCGCGAGGAGCACAGCAGCCTGCTGGGCGATCTCGTCTGGCTCGGCACGGACAGCCGCAAGCTGCTCATTTACTCGGCGCGCAATCCGGAGCAGGAGGAGCAGCTGGGTAGCTATGCGGTGCCGGGTGCCGTGCAGCGCATTCTGTACCACTTCGATGCCGTCTACGTGTCGCTCTCGAACGCGACCGTCTTGATCTACAGGCGCGCCCACGACGGCGTCTGGCAGCTGCGCGACCCGCAGCATGTCTCGCTCGGCGACTCTGGCATGCCCGTGCCCAGCATGCTGCCCATCAACATGAACATCTACGCATCGTGCGGCAATAGGGTGTATGTGCTCAATGCCCTCAACGGCGAGCTGCAGCGCAGCTTCGAGGTGCAGCACGGCGCCAGCCAGCAGGTGAACCTGATGGCGCACTCGGGCATCGGCCTCTGGATATCGCTGAAGAACTCGACAATGCTCTGCCTCTACCACACGGAGACCTTCAAGCACTTGCAGGACATCAACATAGCGTCCAGCGTGCTGCGCTACGATGCCAAAAAGGAGCAGCCGCTGAACAACAGCTCCATCTATGTGACGGCTCTGATGGCCTGCAAGGGCCTGCTGTGGGTGGGCACGAATGTGGGCATCGCTGTCACCATACCGCTGCCCCGGCTGGAGGGCGTGCCCATCATCAGTGGTGGCATTAATATGTCCTGTCACGCCCACTTTGGCCCGATCACCTTCCTCCTGCCACTGATACCGAAAGTCTATCCGACCTACAAGCCAATGGCCGGCGCAACGGTGTCAGCTCCGCTGGTGCCCACTGTGCCGAGCATGGGCGAGGATCTGCAGCTGCCCGCCATCGATGCGGATCCCAAGAAGCTAACCGAAACGGACCTGGAGGAGAGCACAGTCATCTTGCGCCGTGATCTACCCAAAGAGGAGCATGGCTCTACTTCGAACTCTCAGCCTGGCACTGGCTCCGGCCCGACGACTCCTGCCGCTTCCTTGCTGCGGGAACCGAGCGTCGAGGCAGCAGCAGACTCCAATGTGGCCACGAGCAGCGTCTCGGCCGCCTCCTCGCCGCGCTGCTCCAAGCTGGACAAGCAACACTCACTGGACCAAAGCTTCACCGCCAAGATACGCGCCTCGCTCGCCAACTCGCCCGCATTCCATCGCAAACGCTTTCGGGACCTGGGCGCTGGCAGCGGCAGTGGCAGCGGCAGCGCTGACTCAACTTCTCGCATGTCCAAGACTTTGCCGCGCGGCCTTGGATCTGCCGCAGCGGCAGCAGCCAACGGAGGCGGAGGACTGCATTCAGGCGCGGGCGCGCTGTCGCAGCACGGCGAGCACGGCTACTGCGATGTGTACGGGCTGTATGGCAAGCTGATCTTCGTGAAGGAGAACTACGATGCCGAGGAGGGCACGCAGGGCAACCTGATGGACATGATGTACGAGGGCATGCGTCGCTCCGATCCCGAGCTGGCCGCCATACCCGGCAAGGTGTGCACCCTGGACAGGCGTCTGCGCATGAAGGCTTCGCGACCGCGCTCGCTCGACCTCTCCAACTGGTCGGTGGACTCGAAGTCGTCCAGCCTGTACACATCGTCGGGCAGCGAGGAGAGCATGGGCATCCGGCTCTTTGGCGGACGCTCGGTGTCGCGCAACAGCAGCAGCGCCAGCCACAAGACCTCCGGCACGGGCAGCGACCTGGGCAACATCTCGGAGAACGGCCTGATGACCACCGCCGACATACACCATCAGCACCAGTCGAACAGCGCGCCCAAGTCCGAGGACGGCTTCAAGCACATGCAGGCGGCGGCCGCCACGGACAAGCAGGCAGCACCAGCCGCTGTTGCCACACTGAAGCGCAAGCAGAAGCAGAACTCGAAGCAGCAGCAGCAGCAGAACGCGGACGGGCCACGTACAGTGATCACCCTGATGGGAGGGCGCGGCTACTGGCGGCATGTCTGGTACAACAGCAGCGGCAACTCGCCCGGCCAGAAGGGCGGCTCCGGTGTTTGCGGCACGGCTGGTGGCGGTGGCTCGGGCTCTGGCGGCGGTGGCAGCTCCGGCAGCTTTTCGCCGCTGACCGCCAACTCCAACGACGCGCATATCGTGGTGTGGGAGAAGAAGTTATAATCTCAGGAGTTGATGTGCTGCTGCACTCTGCAGCAGCACCCCCACCAGCACCATCCACCCCTGACGGACCTCTGGCGGCGCGTGGCCGAGCAGCGTCGCAGCCGCGTCCGGTTCCGTGGCACGTTCACGCAACGCGATCGCGAGCGCAGCAACCTGGGTCTGGGCAGCGCCACCTGGCGGTCGGATGGCGAGCGTCTAGCGGCGAGCGGCTCCAGCGGCATGCTCAGCGCCAGCCTGAAGCGGCTCACCAAGCTGAAGCGCGGCGGCAGCCTGAAGGAGTTCTAAGCGGAGTGAATCCACAGCTTGTTGCAGCAAAGCATCGTTTGCCAAATGTATATATCAATAATCATCTCATGTGTACTTTATAGTGTATAGGCTAGGCTTAGACACGAGCTTGGGGCTGGGCAGATGGCCTGGCTAGCTTGAAGCATATATATATATTTGTTTATTCACCTTCATATATCGAATATATACATATATGTACTTGGCTAATCTTTGAGCAAGAAGGAACTGCGCCTTATTACAATTTTTTTTCGCGTCGCTCTTTTTTTTTTTTTTTTTTTTTTAAGTAATAATGGTAGCCGTAGGTAAATGTTTTTTTTTTTTATATATATATTTATATATATATCAATAATTCTATGAAATTGATATCCAAATATGCATTTTTGCTGTAGCCCTTAAGGATGCACACAACACGAGATATGGTGTGAGACAGGTGTGTATAAGCGAGCAGAAATATCGGCAAAGCCAAGCAACAAAACATTGTTCTATGTGTGTACAATAAGTATTAGTTTAATTGAAATTGAAAGTCTCTCGGCTGCAGCTGCAGAGCGTTGCGAATATGATTTGTTTAGAGGAGCTCGGACTCACTTCTTTACTCGCCGGGCGCTGAGCCCGGCAGCAGCTGAACAATTTTCCTTATGTATCATTAATCAAAGAAAGTAAATACTTCGGTGTTGTCCTTGTATGTCTGTTCTTATCGCGAATGTGCTCGATCGGTGTTGTAGTAATTTGTGCCTCATCATCGGGCTGAGTGCATCACAAATGTAGACAAGGCACATCTCTCTATGCATATACATAAACGACTTAATACAACACATATATCTATATATATATACATACATGCATATATACGCATACTTATACAAGCGATAAATGTTTACTCAATATGCATATACACACATACATACTTATGTACCACTGCATACATATGTATCATGCAGTACATTATGATTATGATTATTATTATATATATATATATACGATATATACATACATACATACTTACACGCATAGCAAATTATTTATAAAATAATTAACCAAGTTTTTATACGTTAAATAGAAGGCATAATAAAATTATGTAATTTTTGTAACAATGTGCATTTGAAGCGCTGAACATGCACACATATGTATTTACATCTAAATAGTAACACGTACATACAGACATACATATTTATATATATCTATATCTATATCTATATCTATACGCATACGCTATAACATAACATAATCAACGTCATCGTTTTGAAACTGGACAACACACACAGCTTAAACACACACACACACACACACATACACACATTTACATTTTCAGTGGATAAACAAAAAAAAAGAAAAACATTGTATGTATTAAAATAAAACTCAATAAACTTTTTTTTTTTGAATAAATCTATAAATATGATTATTATTTGCTTGTTTTCATACAGATGGGTCCTTTGAGGCTTGCCTCTGGCATATACGATAATATTTCAAAATCATTTAGTATGTACCTTTGGATATTGTGTGCGAGTGTACCTTCGTATACATATGATGGTGTTTTGGATTTACCGTTCTCCGAATGGGAGCTTGGCTAATTCTATAAATTTGTATTCCAGGTCAACCATGTAAAATGGTCTTTAAAATATTACAAATCTTTATCATTTTGTCGAGATAGCTTAAAGGAGGTTTCCATTCGATGAGAAGTCCCAATAATAGCTGAATCCAGTGCCTGAACGATGCTTGATTTTCTGAAGCACTACATCCCAGCTCTAAGATCTAAGACTGCGCTTGGGCTGCTCTGCAGTTTGGGCAATAGTGTGAGAATATATTTGTTAAAAAATGTATCTTAAAGTAGGATTATGTAGATTCCAAAGCACAAGTCTCTAGTACCTATAATATGTTTCACAAATTGAGGGCTAAAGAGGCGGGGTACCCACAATCTGTAAATTACAAAATCTTCGTATTCATCAAATGTATATACACAGTAAATCCTAAGTCTCGAGGTCTAATAATGTTCAAATTACGCTAAAAAAACAAAATCAATTTATCGATTATTTTCTATAAAAAGATATCGGATGAGTTATCGAAAAAATATAATAAACTTGTACTGCGTATGCTATACACGAGTATGTATGCAAAATTTCAGCACTCTAGCTGACATCTCGGCGTTCATACGAACGGACGGACGTACAGACGATTATTTAAAGAAATAAACTGAAAACTCGTATGGTTGAAAGAAATTGATGAAAAATTTGAATGCCTTCTTGATGTCAAAAGCCTTATTCATCACATCACATAAGTGATATTGATAAAAATTAACTTTACGAAGTAATTCTTGACTGCAGGATGTGGGTAACGAGCCGAAATTCGGGCGCTACGTCCTCCAGGTACGTCACTGTCTGTGAACGACGTGTTCACACAAGTACTGGCAAATAGACAGACAAACGGATGGGCTAAATAATCTCTGCTCAATGCCTTAATCAGGAATATACATATATATATATATATATATATATATATATATATATATATATATATATATATATATATATATATATATATATATATATATATATATTTTTTTTTTTTTTTTTTTTTTTTTTTGGGTTTGCCACGCCTTCTTCTTGTCTGTTGCATATTTACATTTGACAAAGCCATTATACGCTGATTTCCCATATTAATGGGGATCAATGTCTACCATATACATATGTATGGCTATGGCATGTTGTGTATTTTTAACAATTATATTATATTTATATTCAAAAGTTTTATGAGCTCATCAATAAAGTGCTGCAGCAGAATTCGATTGGCATATCAATAATTCGTCAAAGTTTTATTTATAAATTCACACTAGTGACATAAATTTGAGGATTCGGATTCGGATTCGGATTCGGATTCGGAGATTCGTGTTAAGAAACGTACAATAATATTTTGGATAAGCTCATGAACCTTGACAATTGCATTCCGATTAAGTGTGTACGTTGGCAACCGTTATTAATTTGATGATATCTGGGGCGACGATTCATCATAATTATTTTCGGGTTGGTTTTCTGTGCGATTTATCGGTGTATGAACGAATTGTAAGTGGGCTTCTATTTAGTTAAATAACGAAGATTGTTAACTATTCTCCAGCATTGTGTAGAATTTGGATAATGTCGCTTTTGAAGTGTTACTTATATCCATTTTCGATTTAGAATTTGTCCTGAATGAAGATTGTTGTTGTGTGAGATACACCCACAGGCCCTACGATCGCATAGTTTCTGTTAGGTTTAAGATAATTGCATTAAATTTTGACTGTAGATTTTCAAAAGCTTACCTATTGGGTATTTTAGGTTGATATGAGGTATGTTGGCTCCTTTTGCAGGTCTGTGTGTGCTGGCCCAATAGGCAACCAGTTAGGTTGATGTGCTAGTTGTCCTAGTGGTTACGCGAGGCTCAATCACATTGAGGTCGGTAAAGAGCGTGGTCAGCCCATCCATGTTTGATGGGGTCTGCTCCAACTTGGGTGCCATTGGGGTCGGCTTCGGCATATCCTTTACAGCAGTTGTCTGCGTGGATGTGCTATATGTCAATATGTTGAACTTGTGTAAGGCCGTTCCGGAGTCCACAACGGTATTAGTTGTCATCGTAGACACAGTGCGTGTTGCAGGATACATAGCTATTTTGTATTTCTCTTATTGCAAATATATATGAATATTTTTTTGTTTCACTTGTTTATTTATTTTTCAAAAAAAATTGAGCTCTTTCTCAAAAGCCTAAACTGTAACAACTGAATGAATAAATTCCTAACATTGAAGCTTATGAAACATTTGCAGCGCCTACTAAAGCGAACTAATTTTACGTTTCTCGAATTTTCTAGTCTGACCAAAAATCATCGAGTCAAACAAAGTAGGTTTGATGATACATTTTTCTGCTCAGATGACAGTCTAAAAGATTCCATGTCCTGGATCTCCCAAATAGACTATAAATAAAATAGGTTTTCTGTAAATATGAATATATGTAAATATATGGATTAAGCTTACTGGAGCTTAAGCCATCCGGTTAGTTAGTCTAGTATTTTACACAATTTGCTCATTGTTATAAAAACAGATTGCAATTAAATAAATAAAAAATAAATAAAATTTATTAATTATTATAAGTATTATAATACATTAAAGTATCATGCGTTAAACCATTGGATTTGAGTATGCAGAGACACCCACATAACTTGTATAATATAGCGTAGCGTTAGAACGCCGAACAAAAGCGATCAACAAAGCGACACAGCAAAAACAACACGGTCAGAGACAGAAAACAGCAAGCGACGTCGACTCCGGAGAGACTTTAAAAGTGACGCCTCCTGCTGTAGATCGCCGGTAAGCCGATGGGGTTTCTTTTGTTTATAGCGCGAGTGCCGAGTCGATTGTAGGTTATCAATGATAGAAAAAAAGAAATCCAATTTAATAAAGATTTACAGAATAATTAAATATATCGAATAAGACGTGACTTGTGATTAGTGGAGTGGGAAAGTGTTGCCAGGTCTCGAATTACGGTGCGCAGCAGATACCGCACGGTCCAGCTCCGAGTGTTATACACCAGAGCTGGATCTGGGCGGCCTTCCGCTTTACTGTCCTCGAGACTTGGCTCAACGTTTTCCACAGCACACTGCAGATGAAGCGCGATCCTGTTCCGAGTATTATACCCCAAAGCCGTGCTATTGGCTGGGCTACTGGTCTTAGTGCTCCCTGGTGTTTACAGATATCTATCTTGTGACAGCACACAGCGTTCCGACTCTGCGATCTATACACTAGAGCTGTTCTCTAGGCCTTTAGGTTACCATGCTTAACGTATGTCATTGTGATACGCGGCGGACGCCACAAGATCCCTCCTTTGAGCGCTTCCAGGTCGCCTTCTGCTACAGCCTGTGGTCAACGTTTCCTGCTGCCGGTGTTTACCGCCGCAGGAATCTTGCGCCACAAGCCCGGATAGCTCGGCCATAATCTACAGCCCACCAAACAATCTACTGATCGGTGGCGATTGCAACGCTTATCACCAATCTTGGGGCTCAGCGAGAAGTACTGCTAAGGGTAGAGATCTCTTCAACCTCACCCTGGCTACATCCAATCAACAGGACTGTTGACGTAAACCTATTCAAGCTGATCGTCAACAATAAGATTAATTAGAGTTACACTCGGAACAGAATATTGATGACTCTCTGCAACTTTTCAATCAGGATATTCACTGCGCTGCCAAGGATGCCGAAATAACACGCCCTAGCCATGCCCCTCGCCAAGCCGGATCCTTAGTACTCACTTCCGCGCTACGCTACCTACTGCATCAAAAGCGTCGCTTAAGGAAAATCTGCTATCGTACTGTATATCCGGTAGATTAATCCAACTGGAACAGAGCAAATGTTTGATAACATGCTGGAAAATATGTCAACAGCAATGGACGCCAAATTTAACCTCTGGAAAATCCCCAGAAATAGCAGACGACAAGCCATACGCCAAGCCCCCATTAAAAATGGACCGGATAGTTGGTGTTGATCAAGCAAGCGGAGGCTCTTGCCAATCACTTGGAGGCCCGCTTTCTGCCTTTTAATCTAGCATCGCAGAAAGACATACAATCTACCAAGCACGCCCTTTCGACCCCACTACAGCTCGATCCACCTGAGGAGCCGTACAACTTTGATGAGGTGGCATCCGCCATCAAGCATTTAAGTCCGCATGCTGAGAGCGCGGCCGGAAAACGCTCTCTCGTTATGGTATTCATTTTTAATGCCATAGCAAGCATTCAGTACTTTCAGCAGTGTGGAAGACTGCACTTGTCGTGATGATTCACAAGCCTGGCAAACCTAAGGAGGACCCCGGCTCCTACCGACCTATCAGTCTCCTACCTTCTTTATCGAAGGGCTGGGAATGTCGGCTGGTAGCAGTAGCAGAGTCAAGATTACGGTTCAACAGTTTAAGTTCCGCGCTGGGCACGGTACAACTGAACAACTGCATAGGGTGACAGGCCACATACTCAAGGCTTTCAACAACAAGAGGCACAGCAATTCTATCTTCCTGGACATCGATAGGGTACGGTAAATCAAAGAGCAGCTGTGCTCTCACTACTTTGCTCTGATCCGATCCTACTTGGAGGGCCGTTCTTTCAGAGTGAAAGTCAAAACGAGTTGGTCCTCCACGTAGTCGATTGCCGCTGGCGTATCAGAGGGCTTCTAGCACATTTCCTCTTTTGCATTTTTATCGGTGATGGTAACACATGTAATCACGGCAATCTGAAGGTACGGTGTGCAAGTTTGGGGAGTCGCCGCTAAAAGATCCAGGCAGTGTAAAACAAGGACATGGCTCGTCCGCAACTCTCAAGCTGATACAGTGGAAGACCAGATCGCCTTCCCCTCGAGTCGTTACAACGACCTCCTTAAGTTCCACCCCAACCGGCTCGGTTCTAGACCCACTAGCTCAGCAAATGGAACTCAAAAATAGACATAATTTCTGTAATTGACGAAATTACAGAGATATTAGGAAGTCGGCAAGAATGCAACTTTTTGCCTTTAAATGTCCGATCGATTCTAAATTCCTTAAAGGAGAAGAGTAAGGAAGAGGCTTGCCGTTTTTTTGAATCCAGGACCCCTCTTGTATATTGTGAATGTCTACTATATCTGAAGGAGTAGGGAAAGTCACTTAACGAGTACCGAATTTTTGAATGGCTGCATCTAGATAACGCGAACTTTTCATATGAAACAAAAGTAGCGAAGTGCGTAGAGTATATGCTAGAAAAGAATGTTGTCATAGACGATTCTGTATTGTTCGACCAAGCTGCGAACTTGAAGAAGTTTTAGTCAAGGCAATATGAGATTTTTTTAAGAAAAGCAGCGCAGATAAGCCATATTGTACAATTCAATTTTGTGGACATGAGCTGCTTAGACTTTTATAAAGAATTGATGGATAGGACAAATGTATGTAAGTGTTTTGTTTACATAGTTTAAGCTAAATGGATATACCCGTTGTTCTCATATAGTGTAGGGTTGCAGTAGGGCGATGCAGCAGCGGACTGACGCAACGGACGTGGACAGAAAATGCAACAGAAGAAGATTAACGGCGCTCAGCAAATGCACTACTAGCATTGCAGCAACAACAACAGTAACAAATGCAAGCAACCGACAGAAACCACGACAAAATGGACAGCGACAGAAAACGATGCCGAGAAAGCAAAGCGACGCTCCACGTGGTACAGTCTGCACTATTCAATTGGCATGCACACAAAATCAGCAAAGCAACAATAACAACAACGGCAAGCAATAAAACGAAACAACGCAGCATCGGACACAACAACGGACAGCGATAGAAGCGACGTGGAGAAATCTAACGGCGCCTCTCTCCCACACAGTAGCGCAGCGACGCCGAAAAGAAAGAGAGCGCAGAGCCGCATAGCGGCTCAGAGAACCAAAAGCGCAGCAGCGGAGAGCTAAGAGCACAGAAGAGCCAAAAGCTCTTACGCAGCAAATGCATACGGATCAGCGCAGCAGTGCAGAGCTAAGAGTGCAGAGCGACGAAAAGAGTAAAGAAAAGCTCTCGTCCAATAGGATGCAGCGAGAGCGCATAGCGACGCTGAGACTCTCGCGCAGCGCAAAGCATGCAAACGTATGCAGCGGCGCCGCGCTGAGCAGAATTAGAAGCTCATGCAGCGGAATAGAATCCCGAAGGCTCAGCGCTAAGCGCAGAAATTAAGCTCGATCACTTATCTTTGGACCCCAGCAGCGAGCAGTCATAATTGCGGAAAGAAAACGCCACGACGATAACATGACGCCACCCGCTGCAAATCGCCGGTAAGCCGACGGGATTTATATCCCATGTGCGTTCTTAATTTTTTGTTGTTGTTTTGTGTGCCCAGTAGGGGCGTGGCAAATCGGGAAAAACTGCATTTTCTACAGTATTAGAGCGAAACTTAACTACTAAATTGCTGATCGGATGTGAATGAGTATTCCGCAGTCGGTAACCCCCGACTGCAACGTTCTTACTTGTTTTGTTGCTGTTGTTGTGTGTGCCTATTTAGTGAGGGCGGGTGCCGAATTGAGGAGTATAGCCGGGGAGTATTAAAATAAGTAATGTGAAATAAATATTTAATCATTAAAAATCATGCAATAAGTGAATTGACTGTGATCGATTAAGTGAAGTGGACAAAAGCCGCCGGGTTCAGGATTCAGTGTGCGACGGCGATCACACGAAAGACTCTGAGCGTTATACGCCAGACCCTGGACTGGGAAGCCGCCAGCATCATGCTTTCTAGACTTGGTGTCAGGAGTCTCGCCACAGCCCAGTAGGAGTTGCGCGATCTGCCTCCGAGCGTTATACGCCAGAGCTGAGCCGTGGCAACGGCCGGTTTGGCTGTGTGTCGGACGGACGACTGTTAGTTTGCCCTACAAAGTGAAGTGGGAGACGTTTGTCGATTTGAGATTCAGTGTATAGTGGTCACCATACGAAAGGCTCCGAGTGTTATACACCAGAGGTGGGACTTGGTGGCCGCCGACTATACTATTCTCGAGATTGGGTCTCTTTTACGGCCCCGCGACTCAAACCCGAGTGCTATACACCTTAGTTGAGTCGTGGTGACAGCCCCGCTGTATGCCAGACAAGCCAGCATCAGCATTTTGAGAACTCGCCAAAGCACATAGCGTTATACGCCAGAGCCAGGTCGAGCGATAGTCGATTTGACGGTGCCATTATCCCGGCAACGCCCGCGCTTCACGCGTTACCCTCAACCCACCGCACTCTAAGTACTGGCAGCGCACGGCAGGCATCTCACGTCCCCCTCCCAGCACCGAGCGTTATACACCAGAGCTGGGTCGAGGCGGTGGTCAGCTCGACTGCGCTAGTGGTTAGCGACAACCCTGCGCTGCACGCGCCCCACGGTGACCTGCACCATACAGCGTCACCTCTGAGCGTTATACGCCAGAGCTGGGCCGCGCCGTTTTCAGGCCGCCCCACTGTAACTGCAGCTAGCTTCCAGCAAGAGATTTTGTGCCCCAAACACGGATAGCCCGGCCATCTCGGCCCGCTGTCCCTTCTCATTCCTTGGTCCCGACAATTTACTAAATTTTCTTGTAAATGACCCTGGGGAAGACAGAGTTGTATCCCGTCGAGCAGTCTCGACTGAAGCCTTCTTAATAGAGCTGGAATATCATCGATGTTTGCCACCATCGATGTTTTCGATATTTGCGCGAAATATTTAAAATTATTGTTTTCTGTCAAATTGTTTATATTCATTCAGGATACAGAGCTTAATAAAATAAATGATAAACATGTTATTAACAGCTTCTTACTTTTAATTTATTTATAAACTTCATTTATATTCAGCTTATAGTCTTCTTAATAACAAAACAGTACTTTCATTTCATTTAAAGCATTTAAGATACATAATTTACTTCTAAGTCTATTTGAGATCCAGTAGTTTCATGTTTTTATTAAGGAACAATAATTTATTACAACTACAACGACTGGGTACGCGACAAGGCGGACAGCCAACGTGGCTGATTTGAAGGAGGATCACGAGCCACCCGGAAATGAGGAGAACCAAGGCTCGGATGCAAGGGTAGTTTAAGGGGGGGTAATTCCACCATGTATTATGTTAACTCTAAGGCAGTCGCACTAGATATCAGGTTAAGCAAACGGCACTCGCACTAGGTATCAGGTTAAGCGAAAAGGCACTCACACTATCAGGTATCAGGTTAAACGCAAAGACATTCGCCCTAGGTAATATGTTAAGTAAACACTTCTAATCAGACGTTGGAACTCTACCCCCCAGTGCGAATCAACACCCACCGAGGGAAACCCCAACCCCTGCCAACGTCCCTGAAGCATCACCAAGGAAAGCCCCAACCCCTGCCGACATCCCTGAAGCCCCACCGAGGAAAATCCCGAGCCCTGCCGACATCCCTGAAGCCCCACCGAGGGAAACCCCAAGCCCTGCCGAAACCGCCCCTATCATCAACGACCCTGAAGATAACCGTTCCACTTCTTGCACCCCACCCCCGTTCGGAGGAGTCACATCTGCCCAGACCCTGTCGGACGACAGTGGGCAGGGCGGCGGTGAGGAAGCAACACCCGAGCGGAATTCCCCGAAATTCATACCACAAACCATCCTCACAGACTCGGGTAGCCATCAGGGAGAGGGCCACAACGTGCGACGACGACGCCACGAGAGAGCAGAGGACCCAGCCCCGCAAGTCCCTGGGACCCCGGAGTGCTGGGTTGCCACGCCAGAGGGATGGCTCACGGAGGAGACCAGGCTGCCCCGAGACCTCGTAGCTCACGTGGCGCTAGAAATGCAGCAGCCGGCACCGAAGCGCATACACTATGCGTGCACCTTTAACCATTGCCGCTACCGGGTCGGTCGGTCCCGAACCGGGCCGCCAGCGATACGTCGGCTGGACGGAGAACCGACAGCGGGTACCCCTCAATAAACTCCCCAATAATCCCCACGGTAACAAAGTGTGTGCACACTTACATTTTTTCCCAAGGATTTCTTATTATAGTAGCCCTAAGCACCCTTGTATAAAAATCATGAAATACAAAGCTTAAGCTAAATGGATATACACGTTGTTCTCATATAGTCTAGGGTAGCAATAGGGCGATGCAGCAGCGGACTGACGCAATTGACGAGGACAGAAAATGCAACAGATGAAGATTAACGGCGCTCAGCAAATGCACTACTAGCATTGCAGCAACAACAGTACCAAATGCAAGCAACGGACAGCAACCACGACCACACGGAGAGCAACAGAAACGACGCGGAGAAATCTAACGGCGCCTCTCTCCCACACAGTAGCGCAGCGACGCCGAAAAGAAAGAGAGCACAGAGCCGCATAGCGGCGCAGAGAACCAAAAGCGCAGCAGCGGAGAGCTAAGAGCACAGAAGAGCCAAAAGCTCTTACGCAGCAAATGTATACGGATCAGCGCAGCAGTGCAGAGCTAAGAGTGCAGAGCGACGAAAAGAGTAAACAAAAGCTCTCGTCTAATAGGATGCAGCGAGAGCGCATAGCGATGTCCGTCTTGCTGTCCGTCTGAACACAATCTATTTCGGCGCTATTGAAGCTAGAGACTTGAAATTTGGAACACATACTCGTGTATATCTCCGATTTATAAAGTGTTAAAGTTTTCCCGATCCGCCCACTAAGAGCGTGGCAAACTCGGATAATGCATTTCTGGTATAATCATGTTAGTTGAAGAGCTAGAAAGCTGAAATTTTGAATGTAGATCTGCATCGACCACCCAATATCACGAGCTATGGCGGATATATCTACGCCCATTGGGGGCGTGGCAAATCGGATAAAGCTGTATCTCCAAGAGTATTACAGCTAGAATGCTGATATTTTGCACGTAAGCTAAAAAGTATAATAGCTAGAAGCTTCAAATTTAGATAGTTAAGTTAGTAGTTAACCTCCTCAATCGATGACACAAAAATAATTTTTACGTCTCTTTAGGCGTGGCATATCGAAAAATACCCTGCACTTTTCACATTTTTTGAGGGTAACCATTCAAACTTTGCAGTTAAGGTCCGGTTATCTCGTTCTAAGAACTGACAAAAAATGAGGTGTCTACACCCAGTAGGGGCGTGGCAAATCGGGAAAAACTGCATTTTCTACAGTATTAGAGCGAAACTTAACTACTAAATTGCTGATCGGATGTGAATGAGTATTCCGCAGTCGGTAACCCCCGACTGCAACGTTCTTACTTGTTTTGTTGCTGTTGTTGTGTGTGCCTATTTAGTGAGGGCGGGTGCCGAATTGAGGAGTACAGCCGGGGAGTATTAAAATAAGTAATGTGAAATAAATATTTAATCATTAAAAATCATGCAATAAGTGAATTGACTGTGATCGATTAAGTGAAGTGGACAAAAGCCGCCGGGTTCAGGATTCAGTGTGCGACGGCGATCACACGAAAGACTCTGAGCGTTATACGCCAGACCCTGGACTGGGAAGCCGCCAGCATCATGCTTTCTAGACTTGGTGTCAGGAGTCTCGCCACAGCCCAGTAGGAGTTGCGCGATCTGCCTCCGAGCGTTATACGCCAGAGCTGAGCCGTGGCAACGGCCGGTTTGGCTGTGTGTCGGACGGACGACTGTTAGTTTGCCCTACAAAGTGAAGTGGGAGACGTTTGTCGATTTGAGATTCAGTGTATAGTGGTCACCATACGAAAGGCTCCGAGTGTTATACACCAGAGATGGGCCGCGCCGTTTTCAGGCCGCCCCACTGTAACTGCAGCTAGCTTCCAGCAAGAGATTTTGTGCCCCAAACACGGATAGCCCGGCCATCTCGGCCCGCTATCCCTTCTCATTCCTTGGTCTCGGGGAAGACTGAGAGTTGTACCCCGGCTAGTAGAAACTTCTTTACAATACTTATGGGGGTACCAACTCGCATATACCTATATCTTATCTTTTCTTACAGTTTACATTTACAAACTAAATATAAATCGATGAGGATATTATGAAATATTATATTATTTAATTAGCGTAAATAAATCCGAGTAGGCAGATAGGAAATAAAACACACATTGTTTGTATACTTTTCATTATCTTTATTATATATTAATTGCCTTGCTGTTAATGTTGCTATTAAATTTGTTATTGTATATTTTACAAAGTACACACAGTATACAAAAAATGAAATAATAATTATAAAATAAAACAACTTTTCTTTAAATTAAAAACAATAAAAAAAACGCATGTGTGATGTTTGCAACTATGCAATCTCGTCTGCTAACTCTCATTTCATTTCATTTCATTTGATTCGCGGCAGATACTCTTTGAGTTGCTCTGTCTGCCTAACTTAATGCGGCATAAAAAAAATAGTATATATACATCTATATATTTAGTTTATAAATATATGTATATATTGTTCAAACAACATGATTTGACATTAATTAAATTTGGTATAAAAATCTAAAACAATGTTACATTTTTGTTTCCGTTTGTTTTGTTTTGTTTTTGTTTTTCGTTTTCTTCTCAGTTTTCAGTTACAATTTCATATATGTATGTATTTAAATATACATGCAGACATATAGCCATATGCTATAGTTTTGTGTAGGTATATTCATAATTTCATCAATTTTTTTTATTATTTTAATTTGTTAGCAAAAAACACTTAGAATACATCGCCTTCGACTATTAATTCTTGTTACGCCTTGTTTCTGTGTTGCACACTCCTACGATTATATTGAGTTAAGTCTGAGGGTATGGGTCTCCTCCATGCCAGTCGCTCACGCCTTTCGCCTTTCGCCTTTCGCTTTCGCTGGCCTTCAATGATAATAAGTTTTGTGGGCCCTTGTGTGTATGAACACTCAATTAAATATAGCCTAGCTTTATTACAAGCATTAATTCTATTCATTTGTTGCATTTGTTATCTCTCGCAAACTGAAAGCAAATCGCTTCAATCGCTTCCCATTCAATTCAATTTCTCTAAACTGGGTCGGAGTCGGGTGTTTGTGAGTTGTGGGATTGGGATTGGGGTTGGAGTTGAGGGTTCGGGTGGCGTTGTTCGAGGTGTTCAGGACCAGCAAGAAGGATGACACGAAGCCCCATTGTGGTCGCAGTTTGATTGTTTTGAAGTCATCTTGATTGATTATTAACAAGCGGCAGAGCACAAAATAAACACTAATTGCACTTAAAAAAATAACAACAAAGTTTTAAATATACAGATACATAAGCATGGGCCAAAATTTGTTACAGCGCTCTCTCTCTCTCCTCCTCTCTCTTCCTCCCTTACTTTCTTTATATATGTAAATGCTTGCCTGTAACATTTTTGGCCTCAACATAATACATGGTATAGATTATTTCACACATATGTAAATATACACAGTTATGTACAAAATTCATACAATAATAAAAAGTGGACGACATTGGAGACAACACAAGTCAGCCGAAGGAATCTCTCTCTCTCTCTCGATTCGACTTGACCTGCTGGACTATTGAAAGCTGTTGGAGTTGTACGCGCTGATTAGCCGAATACACATATACGCACACACACACACAGACATACACACAGATGCACCATATATGTATATATATATTGCAAAAGTGCACACATATAATTATATAATGCAAAGCATATTCGATATATATAGATGTCTACCGCAGTGCAGTGGCCGCTGCTAAATTCAAAATTTGAGGTGAAAATTGATTTTATATAAAAAAGAAAAGGAAAAAAAAAAACAGAGTTCTAGGGAAATGAAAAATACTTAAGCTTTATGATTTACTAGCGACCACTATATATATGCACACTTGCACTCACACGCACACACACACATACACAAACAGATATATATAGTATATGTATAAAATAAGTTATCTTCGATACTCGTTTACAAATTTTGGCGTTTTTCATTAGGTGTAGTTTCAATAGGTGTAGTAGTACATAGTTATATATGTAGATTGCTACGTAAGCTCTTAGCCGAGCTCCACAGTTTATATCTGACCTGACTGCCTATATATGTATATATATATATATTCAATTTGATTGCGATGCAAATATCTATGTATACCTTTATCTATACGAATTCATATAAATATATGTATATGAAACTATATGTAGATAAACACTTTCGTGAACAATTTGATTAAAAACAAATCGCATTTGCTCTAATCCGAGCGAGTCGAGAGTCGTAACATAAATACTTTGGATCCTACCATAGTCTGGGTCTGGCCATAATCTTCCAAGGTGTGAACAAAATAAAGAAGAAATTCCTGTCTTATGCGTAAGTTAAAAACTGATAGTTACAAATAGTATTCTCTATTTACAGTTCTTTCGACATCCAACTTTGAAATGCTTATGTAAAATATTTAAAAAATTTAAATAAATTATTAAAATATATAAATCAATCAAAATAAGATTTTAACAATACGCTAGGAGTAAAAAATCCAAGCCAAACCGAACAGCTTTGCGATATCCCATTACGCATACATATACATCTATCTATCTATCTATATACATATATGTATATATACATATATATATGACTGTAGCTTCAGAAGAACGTGGAGAACTTGCGCTTGTTTGGCGTCTTGCTGATGTTGGGGGGGCTCTGGCTGATCCCGTTGCAGTGCTTGGCGACCAGCACAGGCACCGGCACCGGTACCGGCACCGGCACGGTCATGGGCATGGGCATGTGTACGGGCACCGAAGCGTATGCCGCCGGCTCTGCCCCGTGGTTAAGAATGGTGTGCTGCTGCTGCTGTTGTTGCAGTTGTTGTTCTTGTGGCTGCTGGGTGTAGTAGGCGGCCGTGGCCGTGGCCGTTGCCGCTGCCGTGACAACTGCACTGCGGGCTGTTGAGGCGGGTGGCATTACGACGACGGGCACAACCACGGGTTATACGGAGATCTCATAGTTCATATCATAGATGCTGGCACGGTCCGGTGTGCCAGTGGCATTCGATGCGGCCGCGGCAGCTGCGGCCGCCGCATTGCGTCCCACAGCAGCTGCAGCGGCGGCTGCGGCCGCATTCTGCTGCGCCAGGCTCGCCGGAATGCCGCTGGGCAGTCCGCCGTTGTTGCGCGCAATCGTAGCGGCCGCCGCCGCCTGCTGCTGCTCAAGTGTCTGCATCTCCATTGAATCGGTCATCTCCAGGGCGCGCACAAAACTCATCGGCCTCGTTGGCGTCTGCTTGCGCTTGATCTGAGGCGATGGCTGGGGCTGCAGCGCCCCGGCCGCACTGCTCACGTTGACGCCGGCCAGCGGGTTGGGCGGAAAGACTGCCACGCCGCCACGCAACTGGGGCTGATAGCCGCCGGACACAGGGCCGGCATTGCTGGTTGGCATGTTGGCGATGCTGCCGCTGCTGCCAGACTGGGCGCTCGCTCCGGCGCCACCGCCGCCGCCGCCGTAGCGCAGAATGTACGATTGTGCAGCGGACGTCTGTGGCAAGGTTGTGGGGCTCGTTGGATTGGAGCGATGATATGAGGCAGCAGCCGCCGCTGCAGCGTTCGCCAAGGCCGCCTGCTGTTGTTGTTGTTGCTGCTGTTGCTGCTGTTGCTCCTGCAGGCGCGAGTGGGTCATGATGAGCGGATGAGCGCCACCGCCGGCCGTTATGTACTGCGCATGCTGCATCATGCCGCCCGTATTGCTGCTGCTTGGCAGAGTGCCCGCACTGCTGCCAATGCTGACGCTGGCCGGTCCGCCGCCACCGCCGCCGAAGCCAGGGGAGGTGTCCTTCCACATGTAGACGCCGCGCTGCGGACTGCCAGCCAGCTCGCGTATGTTGTCCACCGTGTTGTTGGAGCGCGCATAGGAGAGCTCACCGCCAGCGCCCTGCCGCACCAGCTCGCCCTCAGACAGGAAGCGACGCTGCGGACTGCCGCCATAAGCAGCCTGCGCCAGCGACTGCTGCTGCTGCAGCACTAGAGACAAAAGAGGATTAGCTACAGCTTCATGGTTGCTGCATCGAATGGGAGCACACTCACCTTGTTGCTGCTGCTGTTGCTGATGCTGCAGCATGACCCGCTGCTGTTGCAGCAGCAGCTGCTGCTGGTGCTGAATCGTCGGCGCCTGCGGATGCTGCGGCGGTAGCCCGCTGGTGTACTCATAGTAGGCAGCTGCCGCTGCGGCCGCCTGCTGTTGTTGTTGCTGCTGCTGCTGCTGCTGTTGCTGCTGTTGCTGGGCCGCCTGCGCGTTCAGCCCGATGAAGTCGGGGCGTCGAGGCTGCGTGGGTGTGCCCGGATTGGATCTGCGAAGGAGGACCAGTCGAGAGAGTGTGTGAGCGACAGAGAGAATGCTGACATGCATGCTTAGCCAGTTAGAGAGCGAGTTATGTTAACGGATAACACTGTGGCTGCGATCGTTAAGAGCGCGCCATGTTAATGTTAGGACTTGACAGCAGATTAACAGAATGTGTGTTTCTTTCTGTGTGAGAGTAGTCATGAGTTGTGATTGGGTATATGCATGTGTATCTGTGTGTGGGCGTGTGGGCATGTGGGTGTGTTGGCGCTGTGGTTAGGCTACGAACTGGGACCACAATACCGTTAGGATAATCAAACATTGAGGGTTAGTGACGAGTTACACAACATGTTGCAGAGAGCGCGACTGAGCACAAGAGGTTGTTAGACTGAGGAGGCCGTTGCGGGGCCACAAAGAGAGAGGCCCATCGATAGGCGGCAATCGGTTATCTGTTATCGGTTATCGGTATTATGCAAAGACCAGTTTAGAAATGAAACCTTTCGTATTTATTAAGTACAATTCGACACCATTCTGCCCCACTGCATTTCATGTAAATGTACATATATATATATATATATATATATATACATATATTATATACATATACAGATATGTATATATATGGGTATGTGTGTGTTATTTCAGTTAGCCAGCTGAGACTGAGTGTGTGCGCTTGTGTGTGGGTGACCACCGATTATTTTTGTTTGGGAGAGTTGCAATTGAGGCTCACGGGTCGCACATCATCACGTTGAGCAACAGCTAGGGAGCTAGATAGCTAGAGAGCTAGGGCCAGTGGTTGCGGGCGATGCGCTGCACTAAATCGATAACGGTGCGCGGAACGTCGGCGCGCACCAGCTTGATCAGCAAATGGAGCACGTTGACGACACAGTAGAGAATGCTGCAGCCAAGTATAATTGGGGCCAGAAGCAATTTGGTCTGCATTGAGTAGCGTGTGGTGTCCTCGAAGTCGAAAAACTCCCAGAGATTCGCCTGACCAAGGAAATGATTGCGCAACTTCACCACCTGCCCCTTCAGCCAGGTGAAGTACCAGCACAGGAAAAACAACAGATTCGATGTCAGATAGCCCAGCAGGAAGCCAGCCAGTGTAATGTAGTCCATCTTGGAGTCGTTGGCCACGGCCGAGCTGCAACCGCCACCCGCTCGCATCTGCCCGTAGCGAAAACCACTCAACTTCAGCGAGCGACTGTATGGCCTCGTCGGGTATACGGCCGGTTCCCTCGGACCCAGATCACTGTTGGGTTCCTCTTGGATGTTGCTCTTCCTCTCAATATTATTGCTGTAGGAGTGGCCCGTCAGCCTGTTGTTGTAGTTCCTGCTCAGGTTGCTGTTGGCGTTGATGCTGTGGGTATAGCTGGCCTTGTTGGTGGCTGTGTTGCTGTTGTTGTTGTTGATGTTGATGTTGCTGTTGCTATTGTTGATGTTGCTGTTGTTGTTGATGTTGTTGTTGTTGAAGTTGTTGTTGACGCTGTATTCGTCACTTGCCGCCTGCTTGCCGTACTTGGCCAACACCTTCTGAAACCGCTCGGCGGTGTTGCTGCCGGAGCTGTTGCAGTTGTTCTTGATATTGTTATTGCTGTTGCTGTTTCTCATGTTGTTGCTGATGTTCTTGTTGATGTTGTTGTTGATGTGGTTGAGTTTGTTGATGTTGTTGTTGCTGGCACTTTTGATGGCGCTGCTGTTGCTATAGTTGCAGCTGTAGCCATTGCTATAGGCATCCTCGCCGCCGGCCCGTTGATTGCCACTGTCGTTGTCAGCCGACCACACCGCTCGCTGCTCCGGCTGATGCAGCACTCGCGTCGCAGCCACCCGGGGGCTACTCGGCTCGACGCCAGCAGAAGAGACTTCGCTCTGGCAGCTGCGCTGCCTGTAGAGGCGGCTGGCCGTTGGCAGCTGCGACGCTTTGTAGGAATGATTGGACGAGGAATCTCGGCGTTCCTCTGGCGTTGATAAGCGTCCATCGCCAGCATCGCCGTCCAGGCCGCCACGCGACTTCTGCAGCGAGAGCGGATTCGTCTCGAAGCTCATCCCATTGAATTGGAATTGGCGGCGGTTGCGCAGCTGCGGCGGCGTTGCGGCTGTGAGTGGCAGTGTCTTGTCCAATAGACCCAGCGACCTGATGCGGCTCGAGTTCTGCTGCGGCTGCTGTGGCTGCTGTGGCTGCTGTTTGTTCCTATTCATAATGCTTGTTGACCTTTTTAGAATTATTATTAAAACCGATTGCACCGCAATTTGGCGAAATTCAACTTGTTTGCCGAAAAATAAAATTAAAAATTTTTAATAGGAATACAACAAAACAAGGATACGAGAATTTGTTTGCTTGGCTCAATTTACTATACTAGCCTGACAGATTTTGCGAGCTGACATTCGTGTCTATGTGTCTAATTTGTATGAATGAATTGTTATTATAATACCCAGACCCAGAGCCAGACAGTGATTGTGACTGTGAGAGAGAATGGGCAAAGCCTGCTGAGTGTGCGTCTTTGGTTTGGTTTGATTCGAATGAGGTGAGTCTCGGCAAATAACAAAACAAGATACGAACTATCTTCGGACTGCCGAAGCTCTGAAATACCCCTGCAGGCATACAACCGATTTCTATACACTCCATCAAGATCACATTGGCCGGATGCCTGTCTGCCTGTCCCGTTCTCCAATGATTGAAATGCCAAACTAATTGTAAAAGTATTCACGCTTAAGAGGAAGCCTAACAGAAGGCTGAAGAGGTTTATTTACTAAGTGCGGACAGCAAAAAGAACCTTTTTCTTATAAATTTGTTGGACCTATACAATGTAGAACTTTATATTACTGTAATTGGTTTCTTCTTCCCTCATATCATATAGTTTAAAGAACGTAAGCGACTATAGACCCAGACAGACATACACGACTACTATTTAAAGAACGCAAATCAATAGATTTGCAAGCCTATATATAGAGAGGCCACTTGGTGGCTTGCATAGCAACCACTGCAAGGGTATATCATTAAAGAAAAAAGACAGTGAAACGGCACCAAAATCAAGAATTCACTCACCTTCAATCAAATGAAAGCTAAGGTAGTAGTAGTACATTGAGTGGGTGCGCTTGGTGTTGACGCTAGTTGTTGTGGTACATTTTCTAGGAAAGTGTCAGAGTGTGTGTGTGTAGGAGTGTAGGTGTAGGTGTGTGTGTGGACGGAAACGTTAAGAAGACAACTGTCGCCTGTTGTGTGCCGTCGCCTGACGTCTATCCATATATAGGTACGTAGACAGTTATGTAGGAAACGTTTGGACACAAAAGAACTTGACTGGGGAGCTGTATCTGGTATTTGTTTGGTTCAGGATATGGCTCGGGTTCGGGCTCAATTCTGCAGTGCGCCTCTTTCTGCTTGACATAGTGTAATCTGCATTATTTTAAACACTCTACTAAACGTAGGATCTTAACTATATCCATATTTATATAAATAGATATATAATTAATCGTAATCGTAATCGTAATTTTAATTTGATATCGTCTCACTTTTCACATTAATTCTAGTTTTCTTGTTGTTGGTTTTTTGGTTTTCTAAGTGTTTTTTGTTTCTTTTAGTTTTTTCTGGTAAGCTAAGCCTAGGAATTAGTACTGTTCTCAGAATTTGAGTATTGACTACATCGAGAAAAATAAAATAAACAAAGAAAACGGAAAAAAGAAAAGTTGTAAAATAATTAGTCGAAAAGTGTGTAAATCAAGTCATGGGGAAAAGCTTTGTGCTAAATATATACACGATATGCTGATGAGAAATAGGGAAACAGAGCGCGAAGGACGAAGCCAAATAGAGGGAGAGATGTGTACGACTAAAGCGTGTGAGTGGTGGCACGAAATAGACGGAGATGGATGGATAGATACAGAGAAAAACGGAGAGAGAGAGAGAGCGAGACAAATAGATAGATACATAGATACAAAGAGGATAGCTGACACAGCCGGAGTGCATTGACCTTTGAAGCCAACTCGCTCGCTGTCGTGCAATGAGTACAGAGTGTACAGTGTACAGTGAGCACTGCGATTATGGTACAGGCCTAGATTCAAGTGCTCTTCAAGCGAACTCACAACAGCAGCCAATACAATGCCAACGATAAACAACTGAGGATCGCATTTCCTAGCGCGATTATCTTAGGACTCCCGCACATACACACACGCGTGGTCGATCTGTGTATGTGGGTGTGTGTGTGTGTGTGCAGTTCTTTATAAGCGAGCTGATCATGGCAATAACAATTACAGCAGCAACAGCATATTGAAGCACAACTTCACAATCAATCAATGCAATAAGCAGCTCAACACATGGACATTTCGATATATACATATAAATTATTATATATATATACGTATGGCTAGCTGGAGAATCGATTTGTGGCGACTGCACCACTGCAGCGATGGGTCGACTCGGACACCACTCACCTTCTCACTGGACTGGCGCTGACGAGTGGGGTGGCCACGCCCAGTGGCTTAATTCGTTGTTGCATGGTAGGCGTGGCCGTGGTGGTGCCACCGCGCTGGCTTTGTGCTACTGATATGCCCTGCTGCCCGTTGACGACGTAGCCACCGCCCGGCTGGTCCGGCGACAGTGGATCGCTCGTGTAGCCGCGCTGCGGATCCAGGCCCCTAAAAGCAATCGTGGACAGACGTGAGAGCAAGCGCTTGGCACATACTTGAATGGCTACTCACCTGGTGCGCGCGTGCGGACTGTGCCGTGGATGATACATGCGCAAGTGACGCGGCGAGTCGCCACCGCCGCCGGACTGCGCCGAGTTGGACGCACCACCCGCACCGCTGGCAATGTTGCCGTTGTTCATGTTGCTCATGTTGATGCCAGGCGCCGTGTCGCTCACCTGTGGCAGGTAGAAGTTGGTCGAGTTGTGGCGCTGCAGCGGCGGCGTCGGCTCGCAGTCTTGGCTCTGTGAGGCGGGCGGCGGCTCCAGGTCCGTGTCGGAGCACTCGCGTCCCGGCGACAGCTGCGAAAAGTGTAGAGCGCACACAGATTGCTTAGACAGATTAATAAACAGTTTACGCCACCTGCTCAACACAGACAACCTTAGGCCTACGTAAAAAAGAATAAGTAGTTGCGATTGATCGATTTGTACTTGAAACCAAATGAAAACGAAACTTGTGTGTGTTTTGTGTGGGTTGGACAAATGAATCGATTGCCAAATGCCAATTGTCGATTATCGATTGTCGATTGTCGAACGCCCAAACTTGGCCCGAAGCGAATGCGATGCTAACAGAGTTTGGCCCCTGCATAGATGTAACGCACAGTGTGTATGATGCCCGTGTCCACGTCAAGATACAGCAACTGCAATCTTTTTACAGGGTATTTTCATATGTTGTAGTTTTGAGTTATGCAAGGCGAGATGTAGGTAGGTGGGCTACATATGATATGAACTGCACGAAGGAGTTGATGGGTCAAAGCTACGGAATTCAGCGGATTTGCTGGGCATTCAGATCACAGAGAGAGTGAGAGAGGGAAATAAATAGAGCAAGAGAGTGAGAAGAAAAAAAAACTAAATATATTATCGAGTTTAAAAGATAGTTAGATATATGTGTATATTGAAAGATATTTAAAATTGAGGATATTGGGAAAGTGATATCAAATTTCGGAGATCTTAATTCAATTCTATTATAATCAATCTTCAGTGAGGAGAAGCAACAGAAGAAATCATGTGACGAATTTCAAGTCAATCAATCAATATGTAGTAAAAAATTAATTAATTAAATAATTGAATTAGAAACATATAGTATTGTATATTGTATTTAATTCGTTTCGTTTTATTATTTTTGTATTTTACCTTTTTCGGTGCTTGCAGAAAGTGTAGAGATTTTTGTTTTTTTTTTTGTTTTTGTTGTTTGACCAATCTTTATATTTAGTTAATATAAATTCTCTAGACTATATTGAAAAATAGTTGCACAACAATCTGCGAGCGAATTTACAGCACAAATGCAGCCAAACTAATGGCCAGAACAGAGCAGTAACGTTTGCAAAAGCTTTCAAATTAGGTAAACAGCGAACTAAACTAAAGTACTTGAAACCGCATGCAGCAAATCAAAATTAAACACAAACTAAAAATCAGCAAACTAATCGAAGCCCTTAAGTTAACCAAACTAAACAGAAATGAAAATTCAACAAATTAATTAATATTCGGCTACAGCGCCGAGGCTCTAAATACGTTCCCAAAACAACAAGAATACAGGAGTAGTTTACACTGAGAGGCCACACAAATCAGCAAATAATACTCTACTATCAAGTCAACAATGAGTATATACGATTGGTGCAATGTTGGTCTCTATCTATCTACCTATCGTTTGCCAATGTGTCTGCCAAGCGCTTCCACGAATAGCAGAACAGACTCTTCCAATATGCTAAGAAATATAGCCCATGTAAATCGGCGAGTATTACATCTCTACTTTCTATTTAAAAACGAGTATATTGGCTTAGTACGAGGTCTCTCTAGCTCATTTGTGATTCCCTTACCTAGCATATATAGCAGACTGCTTGGATATATAAAATTAAGTTTGATAGTCCACAATGATCGGGCTAATAATACTGTACTCGCGTATGGTATGGCTCTTTTCTAATCAAAGGATAGACTCTTAAAATGTCAAAATATAATACCCTAGTCTATGGTCTCCCCTTTGACATCTGGTGGAGTTATCAAATGTACCAACTAAATAAAGGAAATAATACCCTGCTCGCAATGTTAAGCGAGTTGTCCTGTCATACCTTCGAATTAATAGCAGGGTTTTCAAATATATCAAATTGCTTTTAGGGCTTTACTTTTAATTCTTAGCTCTTGAAATTCAGATTCCCTTAAATGGACAGCTTCTACTCAAATCTACTTTACGTTGGGTATTTACTTATTCAACTCCCCAGAGATTCAGATTTATTCTCTCCATGTGCTCACACTCAACATATGATATTCATCTATTGGATTTATCGAGTATGTTATCGATTAATGCTTTGTTCTTGGCAGACATGCAAACGCTTTGGTTTACTAAGTCACTTTGGGGGCATTTCCTTGTATTTTATGGCAAATCCATTATAAATCTACGCAAGTGCAGCAAGAAAATAAGCCAAGCTTAAGCAAAGACGACAGTGAGAGAGAGAGAGAGAGAGGGAGGGTGGGAGAGAGAGAATGCATAAAGATTGTGAGGACGATATAACGAAAAGTGTTAAGGATTTTTGCGTTTATTCAACTGTGATAGATTCTGTGCGTGTGTGTGATAGCGTGTGCGTGCTAGCAGTGGTTTACTGTACGTATGCGTTGAGGCGTCAACTACTGCGCAATTACTGTTACCAAAAAGTGGCAACAACTACGCTACAGACGTGTCTAACAGGCGCGGGTAGAGCCCGGGCCAGGCAGGTCACGGCAAAAGAAGGCATCAAATGCATAACTAAAAGTTTTGAGGCAACAACGGCAGTTCTTGGATCAAGTTTATATAAATCTAAAGGCCAATCGATAATTACGGGTCGACGGGCGAACAAACTGTGCATTAGCTATACATATATATAATAAATATAGAGATATATGCATATGTATGTGTATATCGTTATATGAAGAGCCATGGGCGAGATAATTACGGGGATGTGGGACGTGAGGACGTGATTAACTTATAAATACGATAAAGAGCGGATGGAAATGAAGCAAAAGCAGTTGCCAGTCAACGATTGCAAGGCGCATGTTAAGCCGAAATCAAATGGCGAATAAGCGTTAGTTAGCAGTCAGGAAATGTTAGGTACAAGCCAAGTAACTCTCACTAAACTAAAACGTATTAAACCCAATCGAACTCAACCAAACAGTTAAAACAGATTAAATGAAAAGTGAAGTTCGACTGCAAGTGGCGACACCAGCTGAGCCGCTGCTAACGGCAGCAGTCGCTCGCCGAGTCGCCCAAGTGCCGTCGACAGAGATATGTACACAAACAAAGATACAGGTACTTGTACAGAGTAGTATAGTAGATACATGATTATAGGTTGTTTATAGAGGGAGAGAGAATTATAATCGTTTTGCATAGCAATTACTGCAATGTTTCGTTTTGGTTTGCAAAATGTTACCCACCTTACTATAAAGCGTTGTGCTGCCCGACCGTTGATTATAACCATTGCCCTCGGCCATATAAGTCTTTACCTGAATTCCACGCTTCTCCCGACTCGACTCGTAGTAGGAGCGGGGTGAATATTGTACCGCAGTGCCGCGCATGCCGCTGCCGACGCCGACGCCGCCGGCCGTGCTGCCATTGCCACCGGCTCCGGCCCCGGCCCCGTTACCACTGCCGGCGTTGGTCTGTTGATTGGTCCGATCGTTGCATATGGTGCTGATGGCTTGATTCTGGGTCTGCGAACGCCGGGATGCGTACTTCTTCGGCTTCAGCAGGCTGCTCGAATACATCGACAACTCAGTTATTGGAATGTGCCTCTGCAGTGACAGATAGTACTTTACCTGGGATACTGTGGTCCGAACTGCGTGTAGCAGCAGTTGTGCCAGCAGCCGCGCGAAAACGGATTGTAGCCGCCCTTGAACTTGCCCGTCACCTGCTCGTTGGTGGTGCGGCCCCGCGACACCAGAACCATGTGGAAGCCCGTTAGCCCGAAGATTGGTATCGCCAACACAGTGACAAGACCCATCAGTATCATTCTGTTAGGATTTCAGTTAAGCTAAACCAATCTGACAATTGCGTATGCGAACGTTTAAGCTGAAAGGAAAATATCTTCATATCTGAAAGATCAAGTGCGGTTAGAAAGCTAGAAAGAAGCTAGATTGATGTTTGGGTAAAAAGGATACGCGACTATGGGCGCCGTCTGCTTGATGTTGGGCATGATTTTGAGCACGTAGAACAGGCACAGCGAGAAGATGCTCAGCATATGGATTGAGAGTGAGACCAGAAAGAAGAAGAAGAACCTATAATTGCGCCTGCCAATGCAATTATTCACCCAGGGACAGTGATGGTCGAACGTCTGGAACAAACGAAAGGAGAGCGCATTGAGTTGAGTACATACTAATAAAAGACGTCATCATCATCATCAGAATCCGAATCCGAACTCGAATCGAATACAATTACCTCTATGCAGTGATTGCACACCGAGCAGTGGGAGCAGCGAGGCGGGCGATAGAACTTGCAGGTGACGCACCATTTCATCTTGACCGTAATGCCATTTATCTCGGCATTCTTGTAGAGCGGTGCACGGAACTCCTCCTCGCAGTCTTCGTCGGGCGAGGCTAGAATGCAGTCAAATTTAGGCTGTGCGGATGACGCTGGGCACCGTTTAGCACGCTACATACCTTTGGGTATAACTCCCGGATCCATAAATGTGGCCAGCGTAAAGTTGGCCAGCACAAAGAACGTGATGACGCCCTGATAGGCCAGCACCCACGGATGGCTCTTCACATAGTATTGGCAGCTGCAAGGCAGAAGGGAAACATGACCATATCAATTACATTAATTCAGATCGACAATTTGGCTGGCCTACACACATGCATACATACACGTGTACATGCCATAGCAATGTCCCTCTCACTCCCAGTCTCTGCCTCTCTATTTCTTGCTCTTATCCAAACCTATTTGCAATATGCTGTAATCAGTTTAGAGTCCAGTGAACTGGAACTGTTTGCCGAGGCGTCACACACCCACACCCACACCCACCCACACGCACTGCACTTGCACTGATGTGCATAACTTTTAGCAGTTTTCCAAATGCATTCGGCATTGATTCCATTGTGATGGCGAACGCAAACAAATGCACAGCCAGAGCCAGAGCCAGAGCAGCGGCACAAAGTGCCATGTAATCCGCCTCTGAAACACTTGTAAGCTGGCATCAGTAAATTAATCCGACTAGCAATCAAATCAAACCCGAATACATCAGCCTTCTCTTCTCTCGCCCGAGATATTTATTTCAATTTGATTTTCTTCTCTGATACGAAGCATTCAACTCAAGCAATTATTCATCGTCAACAAGAAACGAGTGCCAAATGCTGAAGATGAAACTTAATTCTCAATTTGTTGTAATCGCAATCGTAATTATTTCATATTCAATTAAATTTCTATCATCTCTGCAATTCATTAGCTCCAATCACAAATTTAATCAATCAGTGCCAAATACGCAATTTCATGCGCATTTAATCCAGATTTCTGTTGCTCAATGCCAACTTATTTGAGCATCACTAGACAAAGCGTTTCAACAACTAATTTAATAACTCTTGAGTTTTCATTATCTGCTTAATTCAATTTCCTATAGACTTAGCTACATATATTTTAAATTTATTTTAAGCTATCTTCATTGAGTTATAATTATTTACTATATTCAGCATATTTTCTGCTCATATAAGCTATATTTTTTACCATTTTATTTTAGTTTCTTTTCAGTTTACATTTATTATATTTCCTACTGGTATTAGCTACTTTTTTCTTTGTCATTATTTACTATGTTTACCCTATTTACTATTGATTTAAGCTATATTTCAATATAATTTTATCCTAGCTTTTTTGAGTTATAAATATTTCATATTTATTTTTTCTACTGATATTAATACTATTTAATCTCAGATCTCTTCAGATATCATTTGCTCTATATTCACCTCATGCTATTGTATTATTATTATTATATTAATATTTCCAACATATTTTCTAGATTTTGACATAAATTTCTTCCAGTGTAAAAACGAGTTGACTTTAAATTACAGAATATCCCTAGCTACTTATACAAATGGCAAAAATTGTCCACTAAACTACGTTGATAAAGACATCTCATCAACGTTGTACTTAATGAACTGCCCTCGCAGTTGAAATTAAAATGCCAAGCCAGTGCCGCAGCACCCACACGTATTCGGGCTCCAGTTACGGTTAAGGTCACGTGCAGCCTTGGATGGCTGCTAACTGGCTAACTGGCAATTGGCAATTGGCAACTGGCAACTGGCAGGTGCAAGGACACTTTTTGAACAAATTGCTCAAAACTTTTGTTCAACTTTGGCTGCCACTCAGAGCCAGAAACTGCAACATAAATTGTGGCTGCGAATGCTGTGAGAGTTTCAGCAAGTTGCCTAATTAAAATTGAGTAGTTAGACTCTTTTGGTATTTTGATTAACCCTCCTCACGAGCGGAACTAATTAAGCAGATGTGGGATGGGGAGTTTTTGCCGCAGGATATCTGGGCTTGACCGCATTATGGAAAGAGGACACACAAGCCGCCCACACGAAATATTGTACTGCGGTGCATGCAGCTCTGCACGCATTGATTTTTATTGATTTACTCAACTGCCGTAATATATACGCTTACTTGTATATATATGTATATGTGTATCAAGCAGTTTGAGTCAGCTTACATGTAAAGCTGATTCGTATTACAAAAATTCTAATTACATGCTTAGATTTTAATTTGGTATAAATAAGCGGCTCTGCGTTGAGGCGAGTCGCGTCGAGTCGAGTCTCAGCCAAATCCAGGCAGCAGCAGCTTAAAAGGAGATTTAGGAAATATGAGACATGAGCTCTTCCTGCCTTCAACTTAAAAGCGGCATCAGGTTGGCTAAAGAGCGAACTACAAAATGGAACGCCCAGCAAGAGTGAGAGAGAGAGCGACAGCGAGAGGGAGAGTGGAACGGGGCGAGTGGGATACTCATGTATAGGCAGCATCACGTACATAGGCACGAGCACGATGCTGCCCTGCTATCGGTTGCCATATATAAGTTTGCTGACGGATTCTGCTGGCGTTTGCACTCATTTATGCAGTGTAACAACCCGAGACGAACCAAGCCGCGCCCACTCCCGCCCCCGCACCCACAGCGTACAAGCTGTGTGCTTAATGTAGGTCGTGACTATATGCTGCAGGTCCTCAACGACACAGGAATATAGAGAAGAAGGAAAAAAAAAAACCCGCAGGGCAGATTTGCGCCTAAAAGCAACCAACACCAACACCAACAAGAACAAGAACAAGAACCACGAACTGTCTGCATCATGCAATCAACAAAGGAAAACATCCAGAACTGAAGCCCAACAGACATCAATTAATGTTGGCCATCAAATCGAAACAAATTAGAAGCGCACTTGGCATCATCAAGTCGGCATCTAGGCTTTCATGTCCTACTCCTGCCATCTGGCCATGTTTACTTTGGCTCAAACCAAATACAAACAGCACAAACAACGGAATTCAACTATTTTCTTTGCCCCAAAGTACCGCAAATTTGTTGCTGGAACAGTATCAATGTTTACATTGCTTTAAACTCAATTACGTTTCGTTTTCACTATCAACTATATCTGCATGCTAACGTTAGTAGAATTTCCTTTTGATATAAGAAATGTTTTTTAAAATATATTTTCATCCTCTAGTATAGAAACTCAATTTGATTAAATTTAATCAACATACCCAAAACCTTTTTTGATAACTGAACAAAATTCGTTACTGTTCTAGTTAATTCATGTTGGTCATTAAATTGCATTTGCATCAAGCATCAGGTGGAGTCTTTTATGTCGAACTACGTACTACTTTCAAGTTGACTCAATATAAAATGTTTAAAAACTAAATTCAACTTTTTTCTTTAAGAAATAGAAAATTGCGATAAATCGAACAAAAAATTCTATTCCATTAAAAAAATCGCTCTCGACAATTTGAATTTCTGCCATGCCATACACAATTATCGGTACTCGACTGTATAAAGAACGCAAAATTTATTGAAAATTCAATACTGCAAAAGTATCAATGTTTAGATTACATTAATTTTAGCATTTTCAGCATTTATTGTCTACTATATTTACTTTCAGCTAAGTTAAGTACAGCATTATTTGAATATTAGCAATAATTCATATAGATTTGCTTTAATTTTAATATCTTAACTTTTCCTTGTGTACTATATGTATTATACATATTCTATCCCAAAGTTATTACAATATTTTACTGCAATAGCTATGATACACTTCTTAGTTTATTTTAAATTGACTTCAATTTCTACTAACTATGCTCAATTTCCTTTTAATATAGGAAATATTCTAAATATATTTCCTTGATTTTAGTACACATTCGACTCAGTGTAAAATCTAGTTTGTCAATTTATCATCTTATTGAATATTGACTTTGACACAAACTAAATATAAACACTTTAAATAATGAAATTCAACAATTTTCTCCAAGGATAGCAAATTTATCTTGAATTCCATACTGGAAATGTATCCATGCATCTCTCTACAAATGAAAGAAGTTTGAATTTCAGATTTTTCGCATTGATTTCATTGGGATTTAAATCTTGCCAGCAACAGATAAATATTGCTTTGCTCGGCGGGGCCAAGGACGCCACTTCCTGGAAAGCAAAGCAGAGTAGAGCAGAGCAGAGCAAAGCAATTCCCTCAGCGTGACAAGCAGATTCGAAGTGAATAGACTCACAGCGGGCAGCTAAGTGGAAGCTGTAAACTGAAAGCCCTGGCAAGGGCATATCCGGTGCATTAGGTGAACGCACAGTTCCAGGCAGGCAGGCAGCCTCAGCTGATATCCTTAGCTGTCGGAATGCTGTTGAGGAAATTGAATTCTTGTGTAATGCGACATATCAAGAGGCCGCAGTGTCAGTTGCAGTCGCGACTCGCAGTCGCAGTCGCAGTTGCAGTTGCAGTCACAGTCACAGTTTATGGCCAAGGACTAGTGCGAGTGGCTTTGCTGACGACCCCTTAAATTGCTGTGTGCAATTAATTGAAGCAGCAGCAGCCGCATGCATGGCGAAAGCAGTTAACAGGCACTCACACACGTGCTGCAGCTGGAGGAGCTGGTTCAAAATGAAGTTGGGTGAAGAAAAGTAAAATAAAGTAAATGATGACGCTCTCTCTTTGCCCCGTTGTCACACTCAGCCTTTGCTCCCTGTGTCATGAAGCGCTTAACAGCGCACCAAGACTCACACACTCACACTCACGCATACACACACACACACACACATATGCACAAGCGTATATAAAAATATCATTCGCTATCACAGAGCTTAAGAGAGCTGGGGGCATTAGTCATCGTCTGGGTAGCCAGCGTCATCCGACTGGCCGTCGCTGAGCCAAATTGGGACACGCACAGCGAGGGGCTAGAGAGACGACAAGAGTGAAGTGGCACCACTTCAGGCTAGAGGGGATGGCGCCAATAATCCAGATCGTAAATGATATTACCTCAATCGTGCCAAGATCCTGTAGTCTTATGGTGAGCTAGGATTTGTATTTTCTTCCATTCCACCTAGACTTAATATCTCATAAGAACTTGTTCCCACTAATCAACCTATTCTCTCTTTATATTATTTTAATTTACTATTCTTGTGTAATATTATAAATAGGGTAATAGATAATACAGAAAAAAAATATTTTTTCATAAAAATCTCTCTCTATCTGCTAGAGAGAGAGAAGCACTCTAACTATCTAAAGGCAGAACTGAGGTAAATCGTTCGCTTGA